AAGGTCCAACTTCACCAACAAGGACTCACACCTGACAAGCTCCGGATCAGGGATCTTACAAGGAACTAATGACCCTCAGATGATGATAGCCACTCCCCCACCCCTTATCTGGGATTGCAGCTGATGAAGCACCTGAAACCCTTCTGGGCACATTTCAGTGAGGGGGACTTCTCCCTCCGGGCCCAGCCAGGTTTCAGTCATGCCAGGTCTGCCCCCTCATCTAATATTAGGTCCCGGACGAGGGGAGCTTTGTGAACCACAGACCTGGCATTTAGCAACAACAGCCTGAGACCAGGGCCCTGACAACTCTCGCCATCTGGTCCTGGAGTGGAACTAACAGGGCCGGAAGGAGGGATCGCTGTGACGTAGCAAACCCTCCTTCCCCGGTAATGGCTAGCCCTGAAGTTCCCGTCGTACCTGCCCCATTATGGTACCTGTCATGACCATAATGCTCCGGCCCACCCCTGCACCCGTAGACCCCATTTCCCCTCCCATAGCCTCTGCTCTCCCCAGCAGGCCATTTATATCAATCATTCTAGGACAGGAGGTAGGCTAGGGCCCCCTACCACTTCTGCAATAGCACTCAGTGGAGGAGGCACCCGGCTGTACTCCCAGTCCACTCATACATACAGAGCCACTCACCCACACAGTCCCCACGTAAATCAATTAATGGCTTCTGAACTTTACTCCTGGGTCCCCTTCTCTCTGGTTGAGGTCATTATTCACATTCTCCAACAGGACGTTATGGCAGGGTTCTGGACATGCACATTACATCCCAGTACAGAAACAAGAGACTTTTACTCTGGCCAACAGTATGCATGGCAATTCCCCCCCCCACCCCCTCAAGTTGATAGTAGTCATGGAAACGCTTTAGCCATTGACAATCTGTAATACTGGAATAGAGATAATTTAGTGTATTTCTAGTTTTTATTCTGACATAATGAATTTTGTTGAGAAAAACTTTGACATAGGCTTATCACCTGTGCTGGAAGTACAACCTTGGTTTTTGGAGAAATCTAGAGGCAAATTACTGCAGCTAAAACTTTGAAACCACTTATACGTGGTTTCAACTTATAGGCAACTTATATCACTTCTCTGTATTTTCTTCACAGTCCTTGTGCAAACAGCAATGGGCATATAGAAACCAGATCAATGGAGATGCCTAATAAAGATGCCAGCCCCTTATGTTCTTGGTATTCTAATGGACAATAATTGAAAATAAGGATTCACTTTCAACAGACGGATATGGTACCCTCTTGAAATGTGACTTGTAGACAATGTGAAGCAAGGGTTGGGTATTAGGTCTGCATGTGCATGAAACTCAGAGGTTGCAATTCTATGTATCTTTAAAAGGAACTATAGCATTCTACTAAATTTAGAGGGGCTTACATCTGAGTATATACATGTAAGCTGGACCCACATCACACTAAATCATGTACCATATCATAGATTGTTTTGTTTTGGCTTAGTGTGTTGTATTACCAAGCTAGTTGGGACCCCCAACTTGGTCATTATGTAGTCACTAAGTGAAAAACCATGTGACTGAAATTGTACTTTTAATTTTATACAGGACAATGCAAACCAACTACGAGAGAGACATCAGTTTGTAAATATGGGTAATGGTCCCAAAGTTACCTTTTCAGTACCATTGTAACTGCGAACAGTCATTGACTGAGGCAGTCACTAATCAAGGACTGTAGTGTGACACATTAATGAGACAAACCAGCTTAGTACTTTAGTTAAAAATTAAAAGTGTAAAACTGTGTTTCAGAATGCACACAAGTGTGCATGAAGCACCTATTTTTGAATAATTAAAGTAAATGTGTTTTGCTAAACATAGGTTTCTCTGGAAATTGTTCCCAACTGTTCCCACACGTAGAATATATGTACACATACATAAAAACATCTAGGGATCACACTAATGCCATTATGCAGATTGAAAAAACTGCAGCTGCTTAAATAAGAGACCATACATGCCCATGGTTATTGAGTTACATCTCTTGAAGTCAAATCAAGTTCTCTCGTTTCCTGTGGATATAACAGCAATTCTAAAATTTCAGATAAAAAGTAGTACACAAAAGGCCAAAAATTCTGACTCAAAGATTTAACAATCTGTAGTGTCACAGAATGCATGTTTTCCAGAGGCTTGTGGACAGCATACACTCAAGAACAATTGCCATTGGATAGTATAATTGCAGGACATCTTGGGAAAAAATAACATAACATCAGCATTGGTACTAATATAGTTCATTGATTAAATTAATATCATTCATATTTATCTCAATCTGGTCTTTAATAAACCCAAAGCAACTATTTGCTCAGGTCCAAGAAGATGGTCCCCATTCTAGGAGGCTATATTTCACCACCAGTTGTTTCCCTCTATCAAATAAGTGGTTGTGAGGCACAAGATCAAGCTACAATGCTCCACAAGTGCATTGTCACTGAGCCTAATGTTGAAGTACCTTAGAGTACCGTTTCTCAACCTCAACAATTTTTAAGACGTATGGATTTCAACTCCCAGAATTCCCCAGCCAGCATGAGGTTGAGAAAAACTGCCTTAAAAAGCTCTCTTCTTAAATGTAATGAATAACTGTGGTGTTACAAATGGATGGAAGAGAGAATGAGCACCATTATAGTCCATGCTGGTCTTTCCTCCGTTTTGTCCCCTTTCCCAGTTCTTTCTTAGCAGGTACAAATTTACCAACCCTCAACTCTTGAAAGTGTCATATTTTCCTTTGAAATTGAGATTCCTGTGATATTCTGGTTTCAAAAATCATATGTTCAGATGTATTTCCTTCCAAAGCTGCTGTTCAGTATCAGCAAATCTGAGAAAGGTTTTTTTCAGAGGAGGAGCCGGGGGGGGTGGGGTGGGGGAATCCAGCTTCAACTTGTCTACTGTGTTTGTATACAATTTTCCCATTCTGATATACCCTGAGAAAAGGAAATGATTAAAAAAATACTTTAATGAATAAGTCTCTGAAGTTTTCAAAGGATCCTGTTATGAAAAAACCTTCATCTTGAAAGTGCAACGTATAGTTTAGGACAGAACCATAAATGTGATCCTTGGAGTGCACAGGGGAGCAAGTACCATATGAGTGACGGCATCATCACAGAAATTTCACAACCTGCAAACTTGGTGCAAGTACGTAATATTTGCACAACAACATTTTCTTGCACGTTTTGTCATTTTGGGGTCATTACCGTTTGCTGTAAGTGCTCCATAATGAAACAATAAAATTAAATCAAGAAATGTGGAAAAAAATGTTGCGGTGATCTAGATTCGGAGTTCAAGAACTTGAAAGAATATTAAAACACCGGATATCTTTAAATAAGAAGAATATAAACTATCCCCATCTGCTTTTAACAGCTTCTTCAAATGAATTCATCCAGATAAGGAGAGGAATGACTTCACTTTGTAACACGTTTGTTTGAAAGAATGCAGTTCTCTGCATGGGTGAAGCTAAACATTTATACACATACATCACCATTCATTTCTCACTCTCTGCAGTTCTTTTGTATCAGTAAACACAGGGATTCTCCTTCCTACTAAATGGACGCGGCATAGCATTCATCAATTAGTCAGTAGTGTGGATGTAAACAGGGACTGCCAGCATGGCACATGGACTCTCAGAGCCAGGTTGCAATTCTGTCAGAGCAAGGTTGGGGGAGATGCCAGAATGCTGGCCAGAGTTGCCAGTGTCTGAATTTGCTGCTGATCTGCCAACCACAATGGAGAGAACAGTGTCAGGTTCAGAAAATTGTTCTTTATTGGGACCACTTTTTTGAAGGCTTTCTCCACCTGTAGTGTCTTTGAGTTCCGTGAAAGCCAACTGGGCTGAAAGAGGAAGTCCCACTTTCCGCCCACGTGCCCCCCACTTCTTCTGGGATTTTCTGACTGGTAATTCTTTATCCTTTGATGAGTTCAGCCTACATTTGTGGTCCTTCATGTACTTCTGGCGAGTAAAGCCTTTGCTACACGAAGGGCAACGGTACTTATAGTTGCCAGTGTGAGAACGTTGATGTTCCATCATATGAGCTCGCCGGCTGAAGGCTTTGTTACAATACTGGCACTTATGGATCTTCATACCTTAAAAAAGAGAATGCAATAAACAGCTTAGATATAAAAAAATTTATGTAGGCCTCATCTAGACCCAATTAACACTTTTGTGGATGAAGCAAGATTTGAACCTAAAACTTTATGCAACACTTTCTTAGCGACTCTACATCAATTCTATATAAATATACTGGTGATATAAACCATATTTTGTATAGAGAGCCATGGAAACTCAGCTACATTGAATAGATATTTATTGAGGGTTTTGCTAGCATATAGTTGGCTTTTGGAAATAGAGTCCGGCATAACAATTCAATGTGGAATGGTTAATTCAATCCCAATGGTAGCTAAAATTAGATATTTTGATTCAAAGCTCAATGAATAATTAGGGTGAAGTTGCATTGCTTCTACTCTTCACTGAAGTTAAGAAACAAAATCTAAATGCTTTATTAACATTCAATACATTAATTATAATTATTTCCAGTTCTGATCCAAATCAAAGCAATCATTCCACATACCTGAATGGGATAAAATATGAGCTTTCAGTTTGTCCGGTCTATTGAACTCTTTACCACAGCCTGTGTGATTTCTGAATAACAAAATAAAAATAAGCAATGCAAAGATAAACTTCTAAGATTATGTATTTATTAAAATATCTGTATGGTCATCCTTTGAATAGATAATTCCGTTTCACCAATACAACGATAGTCATCTTCCAGAAGCAAGTTATAAGTTTAAATTATCAAACCCTTTGATAGCAAGAAGTATTGAGTTCTTGGTGCTTTCTGAGCTTGGTTGTTTCCTTGCACACATTTTATTTTCATGCTATGTAACATCATCAGCACAAAAGACAGTATGATTTACTGGTTGTTTTATATATACAGATAGTCCTTGTTTAGCAACCACAATTAGGACTGGCAACTCAAGTCATTGAGTGATCGCTAAGTGAAATCATGACTCTGCTTATGATCTTGCTTTAGCTTTATTTTGCTTTACAGACCTCCAAAGGTCGTAAATATGAGGACTGGTTGTAAAGTTATTTTTTCATCACCATCATAACTGCAAATGACTGTTAAACAAGGACTTTATATAGTAGCTTGCTACTTTCCCTCACAAATGTTACCTAGTCTGGTACAGAAAGAGAGCACCAAACACCCTGCAGTTCTACCCTGAGTTACTTATATTCTCTTCTGCTGCAAGAATGAAGTCCCTACACAGTGATGGTAAGAATTTTGTTCTGTTTCTCCTTCATTATCCTATGAAACAAATATCAAAACAAAAAAATAACTGCATATTGATCTTTAATTAAAGAGGGAGAAAGAATAAAAGACTATCACGGTGAACAATCTACCGTATTTTTCGCTTGATAAGACACACTCCCCACCCCCAAAAAGACCTTTGTGGTCCTTTGGTGAATAGCAGCCGAGCCGCGGCGGTGGGGTCCTTTTACAGTGCTGAATCCTACCTCTTCTGTCTTTGCCATTGCCCGCCTCTTCTATCTCTTTTCCACAGTGCAGGTGTCAATAGGCAGAGCTGGCACATGAGAGGACACCTATTTGTAGTCCTCTCAGGCTCTGCTCCTGGCCTCACTATACTGCTGCTCCAAATTTTTTTGCTTGTTCTCCTGCTCAAAATCTAAGTGCGTCTTACGATCCGGTGCGTCTTATGGAGCAAAAAATATGGTTCTTCCAAGCGAGATTGTTTTTACTATGCTACTTTATTGCACCATTTAAGAATGTCAAAGTCACTCTATCAAGCCAAGAATGGGAAGAGGTAGAGAAGTCAGATAAAGCAATATTTAATGGAAACAATATTTTCAATATAATGAGAGCTTTGGGGTGGTAGGGTCTACATGAGACTACTGACAAACTCTCAAGTTTACAGCAACTATGAGATGATGTGCGATAGTGACATCTGGAAGCACCTTACAAAAGGATGGATCATCTACATAAACCACAATTTTTCTCAACTTTGTCTTTCTTTCATCTCAAAACTGGTTTTCAGTATAATAACTCAATGTGTAGTCAGAGCTTTTTAAAATAAGCAACCTTGGTACAAAACACTTAACCCTGTTGTACCCAAACTATGCACAGATGTATCATGGGATACTTTACTATTTAAAAATAGAGCTGTTAGTGAGAATGTCACAGCCCACGTTGGATACCTCTGGGGCTGTTATGAACTGAGAAAGTTTGGAAACTTCTGATTTAGCCAACCTCAGAGTCAATAAAAATATGACAATTCCAGCTCCTTTATGTCCATTTCTTCAAAAAACTGCTAATTCTGTGTCATTCTATTTTCTAATACCTAAGCAATCCACTGTTGTCTATGAAACTAGTCCCAAATTTCACTTCTCAACCAAGAAGCTTCTTTAGCTGAGAAGCGAAACATCTTCAAAGAAAAACCAGAAAGTCCAGTTGCCTCTTGGAAAAGTACCTTTGGGACAACCATGACCTGAATAACTGAGAATCTCCATAGACTATGAAGCTAGTGTTGCTCTGGACCCTCTGATACTTACGAGAATGGGCATTTGTATTTCTTGAAAGGCTCATGGATCAGCATATGCCGTTTGAGTTTATCCTTCCTGTTGAAAGCTGAGTCACAGACTGAACACTTAAAAGGTTTTTCACCTGTACAGGAAAGATGTATGAATTCAGCAACAAAGACATACATGGGTTTGGTTAAAAAGCATTCTAATAAGTCATTTTCCAGTCCTGGGTAACAGAAACATGATCAAACAGAACTGGCATTAGTTCCGCAAGACCTTTCTTGTTTCTGATGTAATATATTGCTTCCAGTAGATGCTTGTATACTTAACATACATTCAAATGGTTCCAATCAAAGTAGTGATCCATCAGACAGAAATTAAGAAGCTTGCTAAGTGAACACAATTTTTCAAATAGGGAGGCAAAACCCAACACATGTTAAGGTATCAGCCACCACGGAAGTTGATGACAGGAGAATCTTAGAACATGAATAGGTTCAACAGATTGGAAACCAATTTCTGCCATTTCTTACCCGAATGAATGTGTGCGTGTAATTTGAGGTAGTGTTCTCGGCGGAAGAACTTTTTGCAGATCTGGCACTTAAATTTGCCTCCTCCTCCATGTGTAGGGAGATGCCTTCGCAGGTACCTCTCACAGGGAAACACCTGTAAAAAGAAGGCAATGTTGTTAAAACTCTGGTTAAGATCAAGGGCATTTTAAAAGGGTAGTGATACTAGTCAGACCAGGAGGGGGCACTATTTTGTGGCTACAGTTTGCTCCTAATATTTTTTGAGAAACTGGCTCTAAAAAGTGAATGTGAAGGTCATATCTCAAATGTGGACATGGTTGCATTTTAGAAAGTTTCATGACTTTCTCACTTTTCAACAGGGAAAGCTTTATCTTAGGGGCTTATTTTACAGTTTTCATTTATTTCTTGACTCAAGGAATAGACACTAACTGGCAGCTGAATACCTTCATCACTTTTCATCAGTTATGATTAGATGGGCACTATGAGGCCCTCAAGAGCTCTTTTTGATCCAGGGCCTACAGATTACCTACTCTTTCCCCAAGAAAATGGGTATGTATAACAAATATATACAGTGAAATTCTAAAGTAGATGAGACAAAGACTTTACTAACGTAAATCAAGTAAGCTTTTTAAAAAACAACCCCACATGGATAGTTCCTGCCTTAGGGAATGAGCCACAGGACAGAAAGCATATTGTGCATGGAAGAAGATAATTGTGAGAACTCAGGGGCTGCAAAGTCACCCTTTGCAATACAGATGGCACAACACAACTGGATGCAAGTGTGCATCCACTATACAAAAGTATGACTACAAAAGCAACCTTGGGCAAGACTCCCTTTTCTCATTCTAAAGCCCGAGTAACAAACTATGAAACAAACATGAAAGAAAAAAAGGGGGGGAAATTGCCATAGTCAATGATTAAATCATAGAATCACTTATTTCTCCAGAAAGTCAATTTAGTTTAGTTTAGTTTAGTTTATTATCATTGCACATGGTACAATGAAATGCTGTCTTCAGTGTACATTATAACTATAAAAATAAAAACACAAACACACATTCTATATAATTGAAATTGGAAACCGATATCGCGCTATATCATAGAATTCAATATGGTTACTGCCCTGGGATAGAAACTGTTTTTCAGCCTATTTGTCCTTGTTTTTATGCCAGATGGTAATAGTCCAAAAAAAGGGTACCCAGGATGAGATGGATCTTTAAGAATGTTTTGAACTTTCTTAAGGTAGCGGGAGCTATAAAACTCTTCCAAAGAGGGAAGAGGGCAATCAATGATCCTCTGGGCAATTACATTAACCCTCTGGAGTGTGGTACTATCTGCCACTGTGCAATTGGCAAACAATACACAGAAGCAGTAAGTTAAGATACCCTCTGCGGGGCAGTGATAGAATGTCACCAGCAGTTTTCTATTCAGTTGTTGTTTCCTGAGAAGTTTCGAGTAGTATCATCTTTGCTGGGCCCTTTTGACCAGTGGTGCAATGTGAGTGCCCCAGGTCAGGTCCTCTTTTATGTAGCACCCAGAAACTTAAAACTGGTCACTTGCTCCACTCAGTCTCCATTGATAAGGCAGGGCTGGATGTCTGCTCTATTCCTTCTGTAATCCACTATAAGCTCTTTGGTCAGTTAAGGACCAAGTTATTGTCTCCACACCATGAAAGCAACCGTTCCACTTCATCTCATCATTTACTGTTAAGATATCTGCCTACCTTCTGACAATGAGGACAGGGGAAGTTGTGTGTTGCTGTCTGTAAGTGATGCTCCAGGGCTTCTGGTGTGGAATATTTATTTACACATTTGGCACACCTAAAGAAAGAGAGAAAGAACACATTAGTATGGCTGAAGTCTGCAGGCTGGCTGTAGTTTCCTTATCCATATGCATTTGCAAAAAACATTGTCAAGGGGGGGGAAACAGAGAGCCTTGAAGGAAATAAAGGCTCACAATAAATAAGTAATTGCCTAAAGTCTGGGTTCAAAGTTGCCAGATTTGCCAGCAAAAGAATGAAAAGTTATGGAATGGATTAAAAACTTAATTCATTTTATACACCTCTGGTATGACTTAAATAGAAAAAAAATAATCTCTACATCAATATCTATGAAATATATTTTCTTAACTCTAGCAGGTTATTATGCTCTCGCAGTGGGGTTTGATTTTGTTACTTTTTTAAAGGAAAATACCAAATCGTTCAACAGCAAATCCACAACACTGACTGCTCTCCTAGCTGCAGTTTAAATAATTGCGATATATTAATAACATCAAGTTTGAATCAAATCATTTTTCATTAATTTTTCCCTCCCAAACAGATTAGAAATATTGCTATTTGCAGTGCTACCCTACTTGTAAACTGCCATGTCCTTCTTGGGGCTGTGTTGAGGGAGCAAGTTGTGGGAATATTGATGGACACCCAATTCATACAGAGAAGGATAGTCCTTGCTGCAGAGGTGGCAGCGATAGCTCAGCTCTTCCTGGTGGTTCTTGATATGCTCTAAAAAAGAGTCCAGCTTTTGAAATGTCTGGGCACAACTTTTCACAACGCATTTGTACACCTGCACAGTAATGATAAGAAAAGAGAATTTGAATCCGCATTATTCTGTGCCACCAGAAGCAAACAAACTGTACTGTACTCTCAGCATTAAATGCATACATGTAATTGAAGGAGACTGATGTGCCCACTCACAGTGAAAGCTATGTATTATGTCCCTAGACAATGAATTACTCTTAACCTCTCTTTTTCCAGTCAGCGTCTCCTGAAAGTTAGCAATGAACCATTCAAATTCTGCCTTATGGAGAAAAATATAAAGCTATTTCCCTGCGGGAGGTTACACATTATATCAGTGCATTAGATTTGCCTCTAGATTTGCTTCCTGCCAGTAAGAAACATAGGACAGTGCCCGATATGGGCTGATACCATCTAGCTTAGAATAGTTTCTACACTAGCAATGGCTCTCTAGAATTTTGAGCAGAATTTTTGTTCTTTATCTTCTTAGAAATTACAAGAATGAAAACAGGGATGTCCTGCAATCAAAGCATAGGCTCTGAGCAATGACTTATGAATATGCCCAGAATAATTCATGCACGCAAAAATTATATGGTTTTTACACGGTGAAAAAAAATGAAGGTAGTATAACTGCAAAATGTATTTCAACTATTAAGACATCTGTGATTTAGATTCCGTGGAATCACTTGTGTCATTATCTACATTGTTATCTACTCAAACACATACTTCTAAAGCTAAATTAAAATATGCATAGGAGGAAATTCCTATGCTGGATCCAAAGAACACTATGTCAAGAACACAGTTTGCATGTGTACAAATTACAATTCCTGTACCTAACATCAAAAAGCCTTTGTCAATCAGTGACTAGCCAAATAAATTAAACAGAACATTACTCTATCATAGAGCATAATTTTATGTTTTAAACTGTATAGGCTAAAGATAAAATAGTTGGCAAAACAGCCAACATTTCGCATGTGAGTTTTGTAACCTATATAGATAGTGTAAATTTGGAAGTACGCATGCATTGCTCTGCAGCTCATGGAAAAGTGATAAAAAGCTAGGTATGATGGAACGAAGCCATCTCATGATAAACTATCTACCTGTTCATGTTTATGCTGAGTCATGTGTGATTTCAGCTGGAAATACGTATTGAATTTCTTGGGACAGAACTGGCACTGATAAGAACTGTCTATCAAGACCACTTGCTTGGCTTCCAACTTTGCCGTGTCATGTTCTTCCCCAGGAGGCAGGGCTTGGGGCTGTGGAGGGCTGCTTCTTGGAGCATGGCTTAAGCCTAAAGAGGAAAAAAAACATAGAACACAGAAATACTAGTTTTAGTTTCAAACATTTCAATGGAAATAAGCCTTCCGTAACAATTACAAACAAGATCAGCAAAATAGAATGAATATAATTCATTTTTCCAAGATGCAAAACTGTGGAAATTAGATTTCCTTCTTTGTGTGTCTTTGTTTTTCATTCTTTATTATGACGGAGGATAAAGCCTATGCTCAATTTCACTTTAAAGTCAGAAGAAATCCTGTCACCAATGTTACATATTCTCTCCAGTATTGGAAGGATATGCTTGACAACAGCAGTTGCTAAAGAACACTAGATAAGGACTTTATTGTACCTGTGAAGTGCTTTCAGGTGGCCAACTGATATCTATTTCATTGCTGTGGGAATAAATTAGGAACCGAATGATAGGATTTTAAAGTGCTCCTCTCATATTCTCAAGCAATGAACAGCTTAGTCCTTGGTGAAGTCCTTGTTATTTGGGCAGAGGAGACTAAAGTAAAACAAATATTCCCTAACACATAAAATTCATTCCTCACTGTCAGGCTTATTTTGTTATATGAGTTCCAACTTTTGCCTTGATGACCCCAATTATAACTTAAAACAGTTTGGCCCCTACCAATCCTCTTATTGCCTATCAACCAGTTGGTATGTACAACCCAGGAAACAATCTCAGCCCAAGCAGTTACATTCACACAATATGCAAAAAGGCTTGATATGCATGGATCATTGACTGTAATTTTTTATGATCATCCAGAGCCAATAGTAGATATATTTAGGAAGTTAGTGATACCACACACCCAAACACTAGATGCACAGCTTCTGTTTCAGGAATACATCTCATGCAGGCTTTCCAATCTGTTCCTCTCCAGACTCCAATTCTCATAATTACTAGCCAGCATCATCTTCAATTGGAGAAGGCCTGTCTAATGCAAAGCAATTGTATCTAAAGGTTTATTCAGATATTCTCTTCCTGAGGATAGATGATAGATTTTCAGTATGCATCTAATTTTAAGTTTAGTCCATTGAAGGGGAAAAATCAGTATTACAGGTTTCGCAAGCGAAGGAAACATTTGAAAAAGGATTAAGAATTACAAGAGTATGAAACAATATTAAACAAAGGACTATGACTGAGCAAGATCGTAACATCTGTGTATTTGATTTTTAGATTCATATGCTTATAATACATACTTAAACCACCAGTACACCATAGTTATTTTTCTAGCCCTTTCATCTATGAATCTATAAAACAGAATAGTAGAAGCACTATTGTTCAGAAGTTTGGTGAAGCAGGTCCATGTGATTGGCCATTCAAGCAGTTAATAATGCACCTGCATTTTCCTCATCCTCCTGCTGGTTGGGGTTGAGTTGCATGACTTGCACAGTGACAGAGCTCCGAGAGATGGTACACCCAATTCCTGGTGGCCACACCTTATGCGTCTGCATGTGCTTCTTCACATTGGATTTTTGCGCAAAAGCTCGACCACACACAATGCACTGGAATGGCTTCTCTCCGGTATGACTGAAGGAAAAATAGACACTACATCAGAGAACAGGAATCATAATATCTCAATAGAGAGGGAAACATATTACTAGGGAACTCGACTACAATCTTCCCTGTGTGGGTTCGTCTTTTTTTAGGATGTTTCCTCTCTCAGCATTCAAGGAGGAGACACAATCTTCTAAGTGAGAAAGTTAATCCACCATTTATGTATTTCATCTACTTTAACTTCCTCTATCCTTTTAATACTGAACACTTTTTCCAGCTGGCTCATAACTATAATTAAGTTGCATTCCAAATTGCATGTAGATAGGAATTTACATGATTGGAAAGCTCCTTCACAAGCAACTTTTCTTACACATAAAAACCGTACCCCTTCAGGGAGAACAGACAAAATACATTGTTTTGAGAAGTATTTTTCTATGTGACAAGAATCTGCCTGGGGAGACATGAAATCATACAAACGCTTCTCTGTAGCCTAACGTGGTACAACTCTGTCTTTCTCTCTCTCCTATTGTAGTTTAAAGTTATGAGTGAATCAGGCCATGATGATTTATTCACTAATAATAAAACAAATCCTGACTTAATAATATGCGCAAAAATTTGTTATCCCATGAGGCTCTGGAAGATCAGGACCAAGATTAAGTGTCACACATACACCATACAGAGACCAGTGTTCAACATTTGGGGGATCACACTGACCAAGCAGAGAGATGGCTTTATTTTCCATAGCTCTTGCCAGCAAGTAAGAAGGGCTCCAATTGTTGCTCAGAATATCCAATCAAGTCCTTGGCCTGTCCAAATAGACACTGCTTCTGTCCGATTTTGGAAGCTCAACACTACCTCCTGATATGTTGCTGCAGATCAAAATTCTTGGTGAAGGCTTTGTCACAGTATGTACATTTCAGTTTTGGTGACTTGGATTTTCCTGAAATGCAAACAGCAAAAAACAAGCAAGAAATTATGTTGGAAAGGCCATTCCTACTATATGGATTCTTGCTTGTCTACTACCCACCAAACTAGAATGAAGTTTGAGGAATGGAAACGCAGCAGGGATTTTGAGTACATTGCCTTATGGGAAGAATAGAATGAAAATAGTGGAAAATCCAATGAAATGTCTTTATGTGGGAGGAATGTAAAACCACTATTTGCATTTTCTGTTATCATGGAACTTTCTGCTTTACATCTCGTGCTTATATCACATTAATTCAGATTGCATTAATCTTGGCAAGGGAAAGAGCTGCAGCATTGACTTCTCCTACCTACACTGGATTTTTCATATTTTCTGATGTCATGGGAAGGAATGGCATTGCAACATTTCCTACAACATCAGAACAATAACCCGGCTCTCATGGGTTGAAATGTTGTAGTGTGATTCATATTTGTGGATTACAATGAACATATTTGGTTTCCTGAAAAGGTTAATGCTGAACTAATATTCCAATAATGTCTATACAAAATGACAACATAAAACATATAAATTTCATGAGGTTTAAATGTGATTTCCTATGTACAGGACACAGACTTCTACTTTGTAAATATATGGCAACATGTATTCAACCTGATTTGTTAAGCAAAAACAAAAACCAAGTCTTAAAAATAACTTGAATGTAAAAACAAAATGAGCCCATTCAACCATATGGCTGTTAGTTCCTTCTTTAAAATGAGAACACAGTAGCTACATAGTGTTTCTGAATTTTATGAAATATGTAACAAACCAAAGTTTCACATTCCTATATCATCCAAAATATTATTTTATGTATTTTAGTACATCTTCCAAATAAAGACATCTTGTGCATCTATTAGAAGCTAATGATGTGATTCTTCTATTTCACATGTTTCAGCATTGAATAGGAAATAGTACATTAGCAATTTCATATAAGGCCTAGAGGAATGTTGTCCATAGGGTCGCAATGGGTCGGACACAACTTCGCAACTAACAACAACGATTTTATATAGATATAAAGCAATGGGTTATAGGGATTCTAATAACCAGTATTTGGGCTATCTGTTCTTCCAGATGATTATTATTGACCATGTTGGCTTTGGGGTACATGAATCACAATCCAGGACTATATGGAGGATCATAGATTTTCCTTTACAATATGTCACCCAAGTCTTCCAGTATCATGGACTCCACAATCTGTCTTACTTAAATCTAATTAATCTAATGAGTAGCAAGAAGACATACCTTCAAGCAAGTTATTGTCTGGTTTGGAACGACGGTTCTTGGAAGCAGAATCAAAATTGGTCAGATTTCCTCCACATGTATTATTCAAGGAAGCAGCAGCATTAGCATTTTTAGACTTAAAGCTTTGTTTGCTTGGACTATATACTGGAGGGGAAGGATACACTGGGTTTTCCACACATTGGCTTGGTACCTAAAACAGAAATCAGTGGTAACATGATAACACATCTGACAGAAAAAATATGAATAATTCAAAGCTACATCATTTCTGACAACCATGACTTCTCAACCATCACATAGAAGAGAAATAGGCTATCTTGACTTCTATTGTCAGCTCGAAGTTTGGAAATAAGAAGCATAGCAAAGTTCTGTTGCTTACAGATGAAACTACAAACTCCTGCATTGTTACACATTTGCATTATCTTCTAGTATGTCCATGGAGAATCTGGTGCTAATCCTGTTTTTAACTGCTATGTTGGATAAACATTGACAAAACCTAAATATAGTTAGCCTGAAATATAGTTGCACCAGTTAACATAAATTAGTACCAGTTGCTTATTCAATTTAACCGCAGTTAGGTTTCAGAAAACCTAAACCAATCTTGCCAAATGTGGATATTTTTCTCTGTGGTTACATTACTTTCATTTCTTCCATAATGTATTGTTTTTTCTAATCGTGCACAATCTACCCGGTTTCCCTGAAAATAAGACCTCCCCAGATAATAAGCCCAATTGGGCTTTTGAGCACATGCTCTAAAATAAACAGTCCCCTGAAAATAAGCCTTCCCTGAAAATATTGCAACACAGAAGCAGCCATGAGGTGACCACGCTCGCCGCCTCCTGCACCTCAAAAATAATAAGACCTCCCTGAAAATAAGGTCAAACGCTTATTTTGGGGGTCAAAAGAAAATAGGTACTGGGAAACACGGTAGATTTTCTAATAATCTACTGTATTTTTCAAAGTATAAGACACACCAAGATTTTGAAGAGGTAAATTTAAAAAAAAAGTTTTTGCACTGTGCAGGCCTCCCAAATCCTCTGCACACCTCATTTTTGTGAAAAATGGGCATGCAGAGAGTTTGAGAGGCCTGCAAAGTGCTCCTGGGGGCTGGGGAGGCAAAAACAAGCAAAAAATGGTCCGTTTTCACTCATTTTTGCCCTCCCCAGCCCCCAGGAGTACTTTGCAGGCCTCCCAAACCTTCTGCACATCCATTTTTGTGAAGGGGCGGGGTTTCAGGAAGCCAAAAATGTATTCAGTGTATAAGACACACCCAGATTTTCACCGTCTTTTGGGGGGGGAAGGTGAGTCTTATACTCCGAAAAATATGGTAGTTCTAATCTACCGTATTTTCACGACCATAAGCCGCACTAAAAATCCTAAATTTTGATCCAAAATC